ACCATACCATATCCTCAATTATCTACACTCAGCGATCACTGATCACTAAGTGTATGTAGCCTGCTCTCCTCTCACAGCTGTAACAGGAGGCTGGGCGGGCGGGCGGTGCAGGGAGGAGAGCTCAGACTCCTGTGACAGCTTGGGCTGTCTCCACCCACACATCGCTCTGCCTGACTGTGATAGGAGGCTGAGCGGTGAGGGAGGATACATAGATAAGATAGTACACAATACAGTGTGTGTGTGTGTATATATTTTATATATATAATTTATTTTCTCACAGATGTGAGTACACCCCTCACATTTTTGTAAATATTTTATTATATCATTTCATGTGACGACACTGAAGAAATGACACTTTGCTACAATGTAAAGTAGTACAGCTTGTATATCAGTGTACATTTGCTGTCCCCTCAAAATAACTCACAGCCCCTCAAAAATAACACACAGCCATTAATGTCTAAACCGCTGGCAACAAAAGTGAGTACACCCCTAAGTGAAAATGTCCAAATTGGGCCCAAAGTGTCAATATTTTGTGTGGCCACCATTATTTTCCAGCACTGCCTTAACCCTCTTGGGCATGGAGTTCACAAGAGCTTCACAGGTTGCCAGAAACATAATTTAAGGTCAGTGCTTTGACCACTTCCCGGCTGGCCGTTGTAAAAAAACGGCCGGCCAGGAGCTCTCTAGATCTGAGCGGGCGTCTTTAGACGTCCGCTCAGCCACGCCCCCTTGCGCGCTCCGCTGGGCGCGCTCGAGCGGCAAATGCCGATATTTGAAAACAGGCAGCGATGCCCGTTAATATATAAGCGATCGCTTGTATGAGGTAATTTTTTGCGATTTTGCGGATGCGCGCAATTTTAAAGCATGACATGTTTGGTGTCTATTTACCCGACGTGAGCCTGTCTTTTATATTTTACCAAAAATATGGGTAATAATCATTGTTTCCTAATATAATGGGGGAAAAATGTCCCCAAATTTTCAATAATTTTTCCTTTAATACAGTAAAAAATAAAAACCCCAGTGGTGATTAAATACCAGCAAAAGAAAGCTCTATCTGTCCCCCAAAAAAGGGTATAACATTAATTTCAGTACAGCGTTGCATGACGGAATAAACGTCAATCAAAGTACCTCAGCGCTGAATACTGAAAAACGCCCTGGCCAGGAAGGGGGTCTAAACACCTGGTCTTGAAGTGGTTAATGAACATTGGGGGGAGGAAATTATTTTTTTTACTTTAATGTCACTTTAACTACTTTAGCACAAAGCAAGCACACAGATCAGGAAGTTTGACTTTCCTATTACTTTCCTAACCCGCACAGTCAAAGTATTGAAGTCAGTGTATTATCATAAGCAATTTCAGAAGACACTCACCAAAGGTAACTTGCATATTATTCAGTACATCTTTTATTTTAATCCCTTCCATGAAAAAGTCAAGTTGACAAAATGGAGATTGGTAGAGGCATACTATATCCCGTCCAGAGGAAATTTCTGAAACCTACCACACAGGGTTACAAAGCCATTTCTACCACTCCAAATCTAACCTAAAACAAACAGTTGTAATCAAAATGATTCAACCCGCATAGCGAATCAGGTTGATTGGCAACATTTACAAACTTTCAGTTGCTTGCAATTGAAAAAGGTCAACACAACAAATGCTACAATTGTTTTCCCTAAATTCAACTGAAAATGCAACTTTTAATGACTACTGCAGTCTCAAAATTAATCAACCCCTTAAATACTGTAGAATCCCTCACAATAGCCTACATCTGCACAACCGGTATTCTCTCAAGCACACCTGATGCACCTAATCAAGGGCTTCATTAGTTGCAACCGGTGTGCTTGAGCTAGAACACATGAAATACTTGAGCTGGCTAGGGGTTTGTTGAGTGTCATGTTTGACTTCATGTTAGAAATATGACTAAAGCTGCCCATACTCCTTACAACCATTGCACGACTTTCGTTGTGCGATGGTTGTAAGGTAATTAAGATTATGTACGATCTGCCCATCTTGGACAGGCAGATCGTACTTGCGATCGTCGCAAGCCCTCCCCGCTGAGGGTGTCCGATGATTGCAGTGCTGAGAGGGCAGTGTGCGCTTGCGGCATTCGTCTACCGAGCACGCCACCATCCCGCCGCAAATCGTACGATTTTCGGCCGGTTTTCAAGCGTGCTCGGAAGACGTATGTCGTGCGACCTTACAGTAGAAGAGGTCGCACGCTGCCCATACACCTGCCGATTATCACCCGTGATTAACGTACCATAATCGGCAGGTGTATGGGCACCTTTAGTCAAAGAATGGTAAAAAGAAAAAAAAAAATTTAGATCATCGCTCCTCACAAACAAGGAACAGGATACAAAAAGATAGTGAAGGCACTGAATGTTCCTAGAGACACCATTGGAAGCATAGTTTGCAAGTTCAAAGTTAAAGGAATAGTGGTTACACTATGAGGACGGGGCAAAAAATGGAAGCTATCAATGGCTGCAACCAGATTTCAGAGAAGGCAGGTTAAGAAAAACCCCTGAGTGACTACAAAAGACCTGCAGCAAGACATTGTGGCAACAGGCCCTGAGGTTTCTATTTACACAGTACGACATGTACTAAACGCAGAAGTTTTCAATGCCAGAACTCCCAAGACGTACACAACTACTGACCCAAGAGCACATGAAAAGTTGGCTCCAATATGCTGAAAATATATAAATAAGTCACAGTAGATTTGGATTCTGTTCAGCAATGAAACAAAACTGGACCTTTTCATCCCTATGAATCAGCGGTATGTATGGAGGAAGAAGAATGAAGCATGCGCTGAAAACAGTTAAGCATGGTGGTGGCTCGGTGATGCTCTGGGACTGCTTTGCATCCTCTGGCCCTGGAAACCTGCAGTGTGTGGAAGACAAGATAAATTAATTGAAGTATCTGGAAATCCTAGAAGAAAATGTCATGTTGTCTGTGAGGTAGCTGAAGCTTGGGCATCAATGGACCTTCCAGTAGGACAATAATCCAAAGAATACCTTAAATGACACCAAGGCTTGGTTGCAGAAGAAGTCCTGAAAGGTTCTACAGTGGCCATCACAGTCACCTGACTTTAACCTCATAGAAAGTCTCTGGTGGGATTTGAAGAAGGTGGTTGCAGCATGCAAACTCAAGAACATTAGTGAACTGGAGGCCATTGCTCATGAGGAATGGGCTAAGATTCCTCAGGAACGCTTCCAGAAGCTGGTGTTTGACTATGCATCTTGTTTGCAGGTCATGAAAGCGCTACTAAGTACTAAAGATGCTTGTCATGAAGGGGTTGAATCATTTTGAGACTGCAGAAGTCAATAAAAGTTGTATTTTCAGTTGAATTTGGGGAACCACTTGAAACAGTTGTTGTGTTGACCGATTTCAATTGCTTTTGTTTGATTTGTTTAGGCGAGATTCACACCTAGGTGATTGTGCTGGTGAGCTGTTTTTGTGCAGTTGTTGTGGGTTTTGTGTGCAAGATTTTGCTTTGAAACCCGCGCGGTTTTCAATACATAGAGATGTCTGTAGGACCCAAACCGCTTTACAACCGCCCACAAATAGCTCCTGCACCTTCTTTGCTTGACTGTTGATTTTGGCCCCGCGACGCAACTCAAAGGTGTTAACAGGCCCCATTGACTTCAATGGGAATCTAATTTGTGCAATATCGTGCGGATTTAGGTGTGAACCTAGCCTCATTGCAAATATACTTAAAGTAGAGTTGAAGGGAAGACTTTTTTTTTTTTTTTTTATCAGAGGGTAATAACCCATCAGCTTTTTTTTTTGTGTGCCACCTGGTGTCCTATTGAGGAGATTTCCCTTCACTTCCTGTCTGATAGCCACAACAAGAAGTGAGAGGAAATCCCTCCAAAGAGAGGGAAATCCCCAGTGGTCAGCAGGGTTACCAGAACTAGTGTCCTCATTGGAGGATTTCCGATATATTCCTGTTCTGATAGATAAATCAGAACAGGAACAGAGAGGGTGAATCGCTACACACTGAGAAAATTTCAGACACTTCTTGATAAAGTGGCTGAAATTCACTCACACGGCTATTCACAAAAGGGTGAAGAGTTTGGAGAAGGCAGGAGAAGTGAACAATCTAGGACCAAATAGCTGATATGGAAACATTCTCCAATTCATCTCACTTTCCAGTTTAGCTATGTTGGCCTAGATTGGTCACTTCTCCAGCCTTCTCCAAACTTTTCACCCTTTTGTGAATGACCCTGTTAGGCCCCATTCACACGGAGCGATTTATCGAGCGATTTTTGCAGCGATATCGCTCATATTTCCACACGATATCGCTCTATGTAGCTTCTCCAATCCATTTCAATGGAGCTGTCCACATCTCATCGCTTGTAGCTCGTTGCTGTAGCTTGTCGCTCCTACATGACCCTTTTTTCGAGCGATTTTGCTCCTGATTGCATACAGCTCAATAGGAAAAAGTCACTCAATATCGCAAGTCGCGCAATATCGCTGAATATCGCAAGTCGCTCAGTGTGAATGGGGCCTAAGTGTGTGAGTCTATCTGCCGCCTCCCATTCAACAGGGAGGGACGAGGGAGCGCTGTCATATCGGATGGCCAGCGCCCAGCAGTGAGGGGGAGAGAAGCCGCCCCCAGGACGAGCTGTGTCGGCCGCACGGCGCCCTTGTTGCCATGGCGCCCTGTGCGGCCGCACTGCTCGCACACCCCTAAGGCCGGCCCTGCCACCACCGTACTGAGGTTTGCCTGCTCATCCCCTAAGGTGACAACGCTGCTACTTCACAGATATAGTCCATTAAAGTGCTTGCTATCACCCTAGGACAGGAAGTGTGTTAATGCCAGGATCATATCATAATAAAGAGAAAAAAAGACTGAGAGGAAAACAAATGTAGCCATCACATCTAAGAAATGGTAAAAGCAATGATCCCATTTCAGTTCGGTTTTTGTCCACCTAGGGACGATTATCGTCTCCCATCCTCTCTCGGCGCTGTGTCTCGGCAGTGAATGTGTTACAGAACGCGTGTCCCCGCCCACTCCCGACGAGCCTATATATAAGACATTACCCACAATCCTCTCTTCCTCTTCGCCATTTTAGCCGGCGCCATGAAGTAAGCGGAGATGATAGTAGTGAAATGTTGATAAGTGAAATCCGTTGTCATCCTGTGTGTCAGGCGGCTCCTCCGCTCCGGTGACATGGGCGGCTGGTGGCCCCGGGTTTCCCCATCTCTGACCGCCTTTCATTTTCTCGTTGTAGGGTCGAGCTGTGCAGCTTCAGCGGCTACAAGATCTACCCTGGCCATGGCCGGCGGTACGCCAGAACTGACGGCAAGGTATGGATGATGAGTGTTGTAGTGGAAGTGTGCCATGTGTGTGTGGGCTATGGGAGGGCTCGTGATGAACTACAGCTTCCAGCATGCCCTGAGAGTGTAAATGGTATAGTACAGGCCTTGGTCAGCTTACTAGGCCTCTGCCTGAGACTGTACAGTATGTGTTGATGTACATTACAGCAGGCCTCTGTGTGTGAATAGACAGGTTCATGTCCCCAGTGCATTTGTCATCCGTCTCCCTACGTGTGACAACGCTCAATAAGAATATCATTCCTTTCACATCTGAGCATTGTAAGTCTCATACCTGTCACTCAAATGAGATCTTGGCAGGCAGAATCGCATGGTTTTGACTCCATAGACTTTAATACCTGGTTGGGCAACCCTGGCCCCCAAACTGTTCTTTCACTACAAATCCCATCATACTGCTGGCAGTCATTTCTGTAACTGTTAGTCTTGCAGTGCCTCATGGGACATGTAGTTCTACAACAGCTGCAGGGCCAGAGTTGCTCACCCCTCCTTTAATAGAATGCCTTAAAACACACGTTTTCATGCAATTTTGTGCCTAGCGACAGTCTCTTGTTCATAGTAGTTCGCTTTCTATTGGCCAAATCAAAAAAGTAAGCTTGAGCCTTCCTGAATAATCTTGTGTAACACAAAATGGCCTGAGGTAGTTTGATAAGTGCTATACACAGGATATAGAAGCAGTCCTGTGTGGGGTGACTTAACCTGGCCATATACTCTAATACTGTATTTGTTTTAAATATTAGAGTCCTCCAATGTTTACAAGCGCTGCGCAAGGAATCTCCCGCTGTCTACATTGTATTCTGAAGCAGGCCCCTGTCAGAATACCTGTACGGAGCCGGCAGCTCATTGACTGCACTCTTCGTTCAAACATTTTCTGACCTCCTCCTTTGATCAGCTGACTAGGGAATGGCGGGTAGAAGGGTGCCAACGGCGGCACCCACTGTGCTCATTTCGTCCAGTTCATCAAGAACCAGCGGAAATTCTTATAGTGTATGGCCAGCTCTACACAAGATTTGTTTTTCTTCATTTATAGTCTGTTGTGGGTGGGCTATCACTAGTTGTCGGGCCATACACTCTCCTGGCCCCTGAAATGTACCAGTGTCAGGCAGGACCACATAGCCAACATCTGGGTTCACACGATGGGCAGAGACCTGTCTTTTTCTGTAACCGAATAACACAGATCTTGTAGGCCACGTAGAAACTGTTCACACCACAGCCGAGGAGAGAGGTGCCGCAAATGCAGCGTGTTTGCATTTTTCTGCAACATGAAAACACACAAATGCAACTAAAAAGAAAATGAATGACCAACTTGCTTTGTGAAGTGCAGTAAAGCGCAACCACTGTGTAGCACTGCAAATCGGGAAACGGGGCCTGCGTATGTTATAAAGAGAGATGGGGCATAGATTACACAGTATAGAAAGAAACAACGGTTTACATTGAGCTATACACGTCTATCCTTAAAGATATCACATACATGAACTATTAAAAATGTCTTTATGATGGTCCTGATTTTTGTTTCCATTTCTTCAGGTATTCCAGTTCCTGAATGCAAAATGCGAGTCTGCTTTCCTTTCCAAGAGGAACCCTCGGCAAATCAACTGGACTGTTCTGTACAGGCGAAAGCACAAGAAAGGACAGTCGGTATGTATCGCCTATGCAGACATTACCGTTGTTGATGGGCTGTGTGTTGCATATTGTTAATAAATGAGTTGCTGCTGGTTTAGTGAAGCCATTGTAATGAGGAAAGGAAGGAGCCTGACCTCTCATTTGTCACTGTTTATTCCCTGGCTGTCATGAAGTTTAACCTCTTGCCGTCCGCCCGTAGTAAAAAAACGGACGGACGGCACTGCAGCATCTGCGGGTTGCCCCTAGCGGGCACGCACGGGCAGAAAAGACCCGCTAAATGCACACACCCGTTACCGGGTGTTTCACATATAGGCGATCGGCGGGTCCATAGCCCGCCGATCGCCTATATGTGCTCGTTCGCGGCACCCCCCCCCCCAGGGTTGTTATCCCCCTATATAATAGCAATACCAATAAGTGCAAAAAAAATAAATATAAATAAAAAAAAATAAAAGTAACACATAAAAAAGTAAAATAAAATAAAAGTCACATATAAAAAAAGGGGAAAAAAACCCCCCAAAATGTTTAACTCCCCCACCCCCACGTTTACGCGCCTATAAACGTAAATACGCGTCCGGTGCCCCAGCGCGCAAAAATTACAATTGCGCTACACATGTTACATATCGCCGCGAACGTCGCAGTGAGAGCAATCATTTTAGGGCCATCAATCACTGATAACACTAAACTGATGAGCGGTAACAGCTTTTAAAGCGTCGCCTAGGGCCAATTTTGGGTATTATCGTTTTTTGAGGTTTCGCGCGCACGCAATTTTAAGGCTTGACATGTTTAGTGTCTTTTTACCCGACGTGACCCCGTCTTTTATATTTTACCAAAAAATTGGGTAATAATAAATGTTTTATCATTTAATATAGGGGAAACTGTTTTTTTTTTTTTAAATTTCGGTAATTTTTCCTTAATATAGTAAAAAAATAAAACCCCCAGTGGTGAATAAATACCACCAAAAGAAAGCTCTATCTGTCCCCAAAAAAGGGTATAAAATTCATTTCAGTACAGCGCTGCATGACGGAATAAATGTCAGTTAAAGTACCGCAGCGCTGAATACTGAAAAATGGCCTGGATGGGAAGGGGGTTTAACACCGCGGATGTCAACTGGTTAAGCTTCAATGATTTCTGAGAGACTAGAGAAGAGGAATTCTGACACTCATTTACAGTATGCTTCTTCTGGGTATATGGCTTAAAAGTAGCAGGACAACTTGGGCAACTAGCATTTTACAAAGACCAGCGATGGCAGCCTCCGTACTGTTCTCATGACTGTCATTATAAATGTAAACAAGCTGTTTTTACAGGCATTTCAGAATTGGGCATCATTCGAATGTCTGATTAAAGCAGCCAGTCAGTTCCTATCTGACTTTTCCCAGAAATGTAAACTCTCCTGTAAGCAGCAATTGGGGATTATTTGCACTGGAGTGGTGTACACAAGCATTTCCAGATGCTCAGTGACTTAAAGCCGCAGTCCACCTAGCTTTTAGGTGTACTATGGGGAGGGGATTACCAGTGCTTTTCAATGGGGAACATTGGAAATCAGTGTGCTTGCAGCATTTGACTTGAGCTAGATGTTGCAAACAGCGCACTGACTTGAGCACTGATGTACTGTTCCACTAGATTCACACACCCCTTTTATCACTCAAGTTTGCAGTGTCAGGGTTGTACACAGAGCATATCCTATAAGGTGTCTTCACTCGTCTGTTTTGATGCACCAAAACCCTGCATAACAAAATGCATATCAAGTAGTTATGTGCTGGTTTACATCTTTGTGCTGTAGTTTAGTGTGAAACAAAGAAACTATGGTCCCATGCATGCCTACCCTTCTGTGTTACCATGCACAGAGCAGTGTACATATTGCCATACAGTTAATATGTACTTCATGTTAAACTTTTAAAATCTCTGCCTTAGTGAGCCCTGCAAGGACGACTGCCATTGTAGTAGCCAGAAAACCTTCTTTTACTCAGCCTTGATGATTAAATTGCCACTAGCTGTATTTCTACAATTATTTTACTGCTCCTGGAGTGTTGGTGGCAAGCAAAATTCTTCAGCATTTTGACCAAGGGAGTGTTGTGAAGCAGCGGTCTCTAGTGGGCTTGTCACCAGATTGCTAGTGGTATATTGAGTTGAGGACACTGCCTTTGGGCAGGGGGTGACTGTTGGGTCCCCTGGTTAAAAAAAATTGGGCACAGGTTTGTTGGAATATTGTCTCCTAGTGTTCACACCATATGCAGTGCTTTCCGGTACGATTCTGGCCGGCATGCACTGCATCGCGGCCGGCTCACTTTGTTGCTGGGCTGGAGGGGGTGTGACGGGCCATTGAAGTGAATGGCAGCATAGTCACGCCCTCCGGCCGCAATGCGAGCGCCCGCACGGGATCGCAAGGCACATTATGCCTGCAATGCAGTCCGGTGTGCTCAAAATAGTGCGGCCGGAGGGCGTGGCTACGGTGCCATTCACTTTAATGGCCCGTCACGCCCCCTCCAGCCCAGCAAAAAAGTGAGCCAGCCCGATGCAGTGTGTTCCGGCCAGAATCGAACCGGAACACACTGCATATGGTGTGAACTAACACTTAAAGGCTTATGTGATTTTTGCTTGCCCCTTATTTAGCTCTATATATTTCTGTGGGTAACTGATATATTTTTTTTATTGCTGGCTAGCAAGAGATTGAAAATGTAGATAACCAATTTATTACTGTTGCATTTCAAAGGACAGCTCCAGCCCAACCTTCTCTTTTGACATTTGGCTAGAGAAGGGGAGTGTTGGAATCTGTTAGATTTTCATTCATATGCATCCCCGCTGGGGTGGTTCATCCTCCTTTTTGTCATGGGGGCAGAATGTGAGGGGAAATCAAACTTGCAGAGCGATCACCCAAACAGGAGGTGAAGATAAATGTTCCAGTAGGGACATTTGTTCCAGAACCGACTGTTCCCCTCACTTTTAGGGAAATCATCCACTCAATGGGAGGCTGTAAAAAGAGTACTAACCATTTTCCACTCTATCCAAAACTAGATAAAAACTTTAAAGTGGCCCTGTACCTGATTAAGGAAAAGGGCCCAAAGAGCATTAATACTCATTACTTCTGGCTGCCACCTGTACCTTCCTTCAAAATTTTCAGCCTCTGATGCTTCAGGTATGTTAGGTGCCTGGCCATACTGTGGCTCTACTCTTACCGGCCATTATGTCATTATTGCCACTTCTCACTGATGACAACCAGGGCCTGGCTAAATAAGTGCACAAATAGAATTACTCCTAGGTAATCATGTATGTCTGATTCAATGCTACATATTCAGGATTTTGTGACTAGCATTTTAAAACTGACCAGGAACTAAATAAAATGTAACCCCATGGCCGAACTGCGCATTAAAGTGCAGTAGCAGCCACGGATTTGTTTACTTTTTGCCGAGCAGCTTTGGGCTCTCCAATAGAAGGAATATGGGTGGCTGTGAATCCCCCTGATCACTTCTGCTTGTAAACATTTCTCCCCTTCTCAATGTGTGTCCTGGTCTTAACTGGCCCTTGTGGAAGGCCAGGACATTGACTGCAGCCTACAAGGTTGAATGCAGAAGGCAGTCTGAAACGCTTGTTATTGGTTCCCTTATACATTTAGGGCCTCGTGTATCAGTGTGTTTTTACTGAGACCTGGAGGTGCTTCTGGCTCATTCATCTTATAGCTGCCTTGAAAATGTTCTGGTTTTTAGTGTAAATGACTACCGGCAAAATACAGTTCTAAGAAATGGATGAATAAAATGTGGTTACCAACAGGTCAGCTGTGTGTTCATATTTCCCATCTGGATCATAGAATGTTAAACACAGGTCTGGAGATTTTAAAGTGGGGTTGGACAGAATAAAAATGTGGAATTCAGGAGCCAGTCTGTCCAATCCAGAAGCCAGCAGGATAAGAACTAGAGAAAAACCTCAAAAGTTAGGCGCCTGCTTGAATTTTTCAGGAACAATGGCTACCTGGCTCCAACTGTGTTCTAAAGTTATTTCTGATTGTAAACAAAAGGACTATAATTATTTTCTGGCTTATCTGAGGTTTTTTCTGCAGCTGAAGATGGACAGGCAGTGTTCTTTCTATGAAGTGATACTAAACTATAAAAATGAAGTGTGGTTAATTTTTATTTGTGTTTTTTATCTTCTCAGGAAGAAGTCCAGAAAAAGCGTAGTCGCCGTGCGGTGAAGTTCCAGAGGGCTATCACTGGTGCCTCTCTGGCTGAAATTATGGCCAAGAGAAACCAGAAGCCTGAGGTGCGAAAGGCTCAGCGGGAACAAGCAATTAGGTAGGACAAGCTTCACACTGGTTCATATAAAATGTGATTCTGGGTAATTTCTATTCTGGGCAATACAATCTGTCCTGAGTGCAGGAACCAGAGATTCTTGCTTTTTACCTTTGTTAGCCAGAACACCCTTCTGGATGCCTGTAAGGCTTTGTACACATAGGCTTTACTATTTGAAAGACCAGTGGGTACAGGCTGCTTTTTTTAACCAGTTGCCGTCCGCCCGTAGTAGAAAAACGGACGGACGGCACTGTCGCATTGGCTAGCGGGCACGCACGGGCTGAAAAGACCCGTCCAATGCGAACACCCGGTACCGGGTGTTTCACATATAGGCGATCGCCTATATGTGCTCGTTTGCGTGTCCCCCCTTTGGGGTCCACAGGTGATATTAGGGGTCCTAGAGACCCCTAATATCTCCATAAAGAGGACCTGTCAGTGTGCCTTTGCTATTATATAGGGGGTTGTTATCCCCCTATATAATAGCAATAACAATAAGTGCAAAAAAAAAAATATAAATAAAAAAAAAGAAAAGTAACACATAAAAAAATAAAATAAAATAAAAGCCACATATAAAAAAAGGGGAAAAAACCCCCCCAAAATGTTTAACTCCCCCACCCCCACGTTTACGCGCCTATAAACGTAAATACGCGTCCGGTGCCCCAGCGCGCAAAAATTACAATTGCGCTACACATGTTACATATCGCCGCGAACGTCGCAGTGAGAGCAATCATTTTAGGGCCATCAATCACTGATAACACTAAACTGATGAGCGGTAACAGCTTTTAAAGCGTCGCCTATGGCCAATTTTGGGTATTATCGTTTTTTGAGGTTTCGCGCGCGCACGCAATTTTAAGGCTTGACATGTTTAGTGTCTTTTTACCCGACGTGACCCCATCTTTTATATTTTACCAAAAAATTGGGTAATAATAAATGTTTTATCATTTAATATAGGGGAAACTGTTTTTTTTAAAAAATTTCGGTAATTTTTCCTTAATATAGTAAAAAAATAAAAACCCCAGTGGTGAATAAATACCACCAAAAGAAAGCTCTATCTGTCCCCAAAAAAGGGTATAAAATTCATTTCAGTACAGCGCTGCATGACGGAATAAATGTCAGTCAAAGTACCGCAGCGCTGAATACTGAAAAATGGCCTGGATGGGAAGGGGGTTTAACACCGCGGATGTCAACTGGTTAAAGGCTTTCATCGTCTTTTAAGCAGCTTTGTTGAAGCCAACTTCAGTTCCAGTATGGGGATATTAAAGGAGAACTATGGGGTCAGTGTTTTTCCTCATGGTTCTCCAGGTAACGGGAGGACACAAACTAGCGTCCTCCCGTTACCCTAAGCTCAGTATACCGCGAGCCACAGCTCGCGGTATACTGAGACGCCGTAGCGGATCCCGACTTAGATGACTGGATCCGCCCAGCTGCGTGCGTGACAGCTGGCCATGCCTATCTAGAGGCAGAGCCAGCTGTACCCGCCCCCTCCCCCGTCCGGCAGCCCTGGCAGATCGGAGAGGGGAATCCAGCCCCTCCCCCTGTCACGGCAGAGAGCCGTGACAGGATCGAGAGGTGAGCGAACCCGGTATGTGTTCGCTCACCTCCCGATCTACTGAGCCGACCTGTGACAGTCTCATTGTCACAGGTCGGCTAGAACTATGAGGTGAGTGGAAATCATTAATCTCATAGTTCTCCTTTAAACACATCTTAACAAACTGTAGTAGACTTTCAACAAGCTTCAAGTGGAGTTGAAGTATAGTGGAGCCTGCCTCGTGGCTTGATTAAAGTAGAACTCTGCACTTTTAAGATTTGTTGACTTTCTCAACCTGGAGGTGAAATGTGCTTTAAAAGCTTCAGTAAAGCTGCTTGATATTGGCTAAAAGCTTAGCAAATGCTTTGTGGAAGCTCGCTGTATACATCGATGGGAATTTACCAAGAGTGGAGCAAGCAATCTAAAAGCAGCTGTGTATGGCAACCAATCGGCTTCTATCTTTCATTTTTAAAGTTTAACAAAGTACAGCTGTCCCAGATTCTGTCTGCTCCAGTTTAAGGAAATCCCCCCTCATGGTTCTTACACAAGCTTAACACCATATGTACAAGGTGATCAGAGTGTGATTGTCCAGTGCTAAAGGATATTTTGACTGTTAACACCAGTGCAGGCTGCAGCTGTGCCACTAAGAGCCTGTTTGCACTAGCCCATCTGCTAAAATGCTCAGTTTTAGCAGACTGGCTACTGTGTTGACAACTCTGGTAGTGTGCATTGTATCACACACCACTGCAGTGGTCACTGTTGACTTTTTTTACTTTATGTAGACTATACAATGTGTACACTCCATTCAGGTCTCTGCACGGTAAATTCAAAGATCTTTCTGCCAAAACCATTTCAGTTTTTGGTAAATGCTCACGTGTCGGTGTATATCCAGCCAATACCTTATTTATTTTTTTTCCTTCTGGATGTGGGATTCTCCTCTTGTAGCATATGCATTTGAAGAAAAGCCCTAATACACTGCAGCCTAAAGCACTACACTGTGAAACTACTAGGAATATGTATTTTGTGAACTTATTGTTTTAAACCGTCCCTAAACTAAATGTTTTTCAATTTGAAGGGCTGCCAAAGAGGCAAAAAAGGCTAAGCAGGCTACCAAAAAGACTGTTCCTGCTAAGGTAAGGAATATTCACATTTTTCTCAATGTTTCTAATTTAACTAGCTGAAGTTTTAGGGCCGGTTCACACCATACACATTGCCTTCCATGCTGCAAGCACTATTTGCGCAGATCACACTGGACCGGAACACAGGCACTGGTGTGCCACGCTTTCTGGTGTGGTGCTCATTCTGAGCCTGATGAAGGGGTACTTTTGAGACCTCAAAAGCGCTTGGACTGAATGGCAATTTGTCATTAAAGGACTTTTGCTATAAATCCTTCTGGTGTGCTGGTGACAACCTTTATTCTACATTGTTCGCAGTGCCGTCCGTGGTCGCTACGAGCACCCACCTGCTTTGCAGGCTTACTATTCCAGTAAGGAGTGCAGCTGGTTTGCTACTACATTGTACTTTCTGGTGTGTGCGGTCACACTGCAGGGGGGGTGGGGCTGCGGTGCCATTGACTTCAATGCACCGCCACACCCTGAACACATGAAGCCGGCCAAAATGCAATACGGTGCATTTCAGAGGCTGATGGCTCTGGAATGCCCTGTTTATGGTGTGAACCGGCCCTTAACCCTTACTTTGATCCTTTTTGACCACAAGTTGTGGTTTTCTTAGTTTTAGGGGCAGCAATTGTTTTAGAAAGGAAACCTTTTTCGTTTGCTATGGTTTAGCAATGGGTTTTGTCAATTTATGGTCAACATTGGGTTTTAGTCATGCTTTTCTCTTACATTTGTTGTAAAAGGTTTAATTTCATGTATTGGTCCAAAATAGCCTGCCTGACCTAGTAAAATATTTTTTTAGGAGACGCAGGAGCATTGCATTGTAGAATAGTAACTTGAGTATTAAAAATTGGGGCTCAACTTTACTGAAACTGACCACTTAGTGCAAGGCCAGCCATTTTTTTCCCCTCAGCATTGGTTACTCATGAGGGATCAGAACCCCTGTCAGGTTTTTACTGCTATCACTGTACTGTTGCTGGACAGAAGGTGAGGGGGAAACTATCCAACAGCAACACAGGAAAAAGTAGAATAGGTGAAGGCCAGGGTTCTAACTTCTCTCCACAAAAGTTTTTGGTTTGACATGCTCTTTTTAAAATGTATATTTACTGCACATTTATATTTTGTTACTTTAAAGGGTAATGCCACTTTCCCAGGTGAATTTGGGGGAAATGGAATTACCACCTCCCCCCCCCGACCATACCCTGTTGTGCCATGTAACGCAGCCCTGCACTCTGGATTTTGAATTCCGCTTGCAAATGGCAAGCTAAGAATTCTTGCTAAGAAGTGCTTCTCATTTGTCAGCGCGGTCAGGTGACGTTCTGACCAATGAGTGCTCACCATTTGCGCGCAAAATTCAAAATCCAGAGCGCAGTGCTGTGCTACATGGCACGGATAGTACACGCCCACTGGCGGAGGGGAAGGAGTGCTCGCCAAAAGGGTAAGTATAGCAGTGGGGCAGGGCGAATTCCAGCCCTCCAGTTGTGGTCAATCTACAAATCCCATCATGCATCTGCTTCTGGGGTAATGTTTCTGGCTGTCAATCTTGTGAAGCCTCATGGGATTTGTGGTTGCATCACAGCTGGAGAGCCCTAGTTTGCTTACGCCTAACCTAAGAAATAAATATTACTATGTTGGATGGAATATTGCATATTTCCCTGGCTTCTAGTGAGCATCTTCTAAAGTTAACATACATATTCCTTTTTTTTTTTTTTTTTCAGTGAGTGCAAAGCATGCATATACTGGTGGACACTAAGGACTCATTCACACCATTTCCTTTGAGCTGTGTGTAAGGGCCTGTTGACACAACATTCGTTTTCTGTGCTGACCTGATCCGTACGCTCCTGCACTAAAAATGTATCCCTATGTGTTTTATGGGCTACAGTTCTCACGTGCGCAGTCCGTTCAGGTTACGACAGAAAAAATACTGCATGTCACATTTTGTACGGTCCGGAAACGCAAAACGCGTCAAACGCACTGCATTGCGGCTAACATACTGACAGCCCCACTCCAGCAAAAAAAAGTTTTTTTTTTTCGTTTTTTTTTTAAACTGGAACGCGGCACAAGCACATAGCACCGCGTCTGCTGATCCGGACCTGAAACTCATGTGAACAGGCCCTTAATCTAAGCAGATTAACATAAGGGTACATGGAAAACAAAGGTTTTCTATATGCCTTGTTCATGTTGTGCAATGGTGTAGGCAAAAATGCAGCATGTATGCATTTTTATTTTGCATGACTCATGGCAGTGCATCACAACACCTTGCTGTACATAGTTGAATGTCCTTTTGTGACATTTCAATAATTTTAGAATGAAAAAAGGGTAAATCTTGTGAGGTGTTGGCAGCAGGTGTGGTGTGTTTGTTTTCTTTTTTTTTTTTTTTTTTTTTTTTTTTTTTTTTTTTTACCCAACGTGCCTTAGCTGGTGTGGACTAGCCCTAAATCTGGTTTGCAGATTTCTGAAGATAAGGGAATATTGGAATTGAAATACATTATTATTATTTACATTATTGTGTAAGAATCTGTTTTTCCCATGTCATATTTTTCTTTGCAAGCATTGGGACTGGTTAGGCACCCCCACAGTGACTATTTTTATCAGTCTGCTATATTTCAGTAGTTTCAAGTCTACCTTGTCGTAATGGGATTATGGCCAAGCTTTACTGTAAACCTGTAGGTTTGCCTTGCGTTGTAAATTAACCCAAGTCCGACATGCCTGGAGTCATTTTCAGCTTTCCCTGAGACCCCTAAAACTGTGGACATTCTGCTTCTATAGTAAAACTCGTGCCTTTCCTAAATATTTTGGCTGCAGCATTTACATTTATGGAAAATATAGTGTAGCAGGAGTTTGCAAGTGAGACCTTAATAACTTCATGTAACACATTTTTTTTTTTCATGCTTTTCTAATTTTATGAAACATTCTCTCCATTATTCCTAGGGTCCAACAAAGGCTGCACCCAAGCAGAAGATTGCCAAGCCAGTAAAAATGGCGGCTCCCCGTGTTGGAGGAAAACGCTAAGCAACATGTTCTACTGGATGTGCTAATAAATTACTATTTTGAAAAAAAAAACCTGTCTGCTTGATTTAGGTAAAATGGTTGTCCTAAACTTTCTATATGACATCCAAATCAGAGCGCCAAAGTATCCAACTGTTACAGTACAAGCAGAGTCAAATGCCTGCCTATATACACACACACACACACACCTTTTATACTTCTCCCAATGTCAATGATCCTGGTATACACATAGCTGTGATATAGCCCCCCCATTCCTCCCCATACTGTATAAAGAAACGCTAATGTAACTTTCTTTTGATATTCAATTACTGCAGTTCTTCGTGTTTTAAGCAGTCCACATGATATATGGGGTCCCTTTTGGTGTAGAATACATTGGTTAAATTACAAGGTCTGCTGTAAATTATTGAGCAATGGGTTTGATGGGCTGTAATTGGTGCATCAGCACGGTTTCTCTCCTGGTGCACACCAGCACCCATGTGTTCATAAAGACTTGCTGGGGTGAACAAGCCCTTAATACTTACATATGCCTTTCTAGTTAACTATTGATATAGTTACATAGTATTTGAGGTTGAATAAAGACATTAGTCCATCAAGTCAATTGTAAATCATTGTAATTTGTGTTGCCAGGGTGTTAGAATGCATTTCAAACAAAGGCTGCTGAACGTAAGCTCATTGCTTTTGAGATCCTATTAAATCTTGTCTTCAGGAAGCATTGTTGAGGTCAAAGTGTTACATTAGTCAAACCTTTTGGGTAAATTTTTATTTCCATTTGAAATTATTTGAGTGATATTGATTTCTAGATGGAAATGTTAACGCAAAAATAATCTAGTTTTATGTCCCGGTTGGCTTTCATTCTGCACCAGCCAGTAAACCATACATTTCAGAGGAACAATAACAAATGGGGAAAGGAGAAGCGCCTCAAATAACAATAAAGTGGACAAAAAACTCCTGGGTTCCAGCATAAATCTATAATAAGCAAAGTTCCCCGAAAATACGGAATCCCAAAATAGGAGCTGTCTATAATAATCAAACAGGTAATGATAATGTAACAAATTTTAATGAGAATTAATAATAAAGTAGAAAAACATTACACCTACTGACAAAGAACATCTAAAATCAATTAAAATGGCTAGCAAGTCCTCCCTGATATCGCCCTGTGTTGATTGATGTAGATGATCAGAGGGACGTGTTTCAGAGGAACACTATTTGAATTTGTAGAGAAAGCACCATATGGTACAATAGGCTAGCATTCAGCTTTTGGCATTGGCAAGGGCTTGCGTATGTGCATCAGACGCTTAAGCTAATCAAATGTTACTTGGGGCCTGCAAAAGAACCTCGGTGTGCAGTTTGGGGAACAGAACTGACAAACCCAAATGTCGGAGGCCAGCAGTGCTTGTCAGTCATCTGGAAAGTTGAGTATTCCTCATCCACAGGGTACTTTTCTTTCAGCTAGTAACAGATAATGGCTAGATAATGAGGTGGGGGCTCCCCCCAAATGGGGAAACTGAAATGCTCCAAAACCCCAAGTTCCTTCAGGTCATACACAATATTACTTCCCAATACATTACATAATAGTGAGAAAATAATTAATCCCCAAATAGTGTGTGCCTTTTTGGGGGTTTACTTTCCTCTCTAATAAGAGGGTTGCTAGAACATTCATGCTGACTTGAATGGGGATGCAAAGCAGCTCAAATGGGAACAAAGCCCATAAGTGACAGTCCCCTGTGCAAAAAAAGCTGGCAAGTCTCAATTGACAAATGCTTGCTGACGGCATTCTAAATCCTTTCTAGTATTCAAACACCCTGATAAAACAAATGCATCACAATGATCTCACCGAGTAACCAGAAATGCCTAAAGCTGGCCATACACTGCAATTATCGTTCGATTTCCGCTCTAATACCCCATCATTCACAGAGCAATATCGATTTTGATCATCGTTGGCAATATTAACACTGAAATCTGTCGCCTGACGGGCTGGATTTTTGTTTCCGCATGTGCTGTGTTCTTGCTGCAAATATCTTCATATGAAAATGCCACTAATACATAAATTTTGGTGGGGTTTTTTTTCATACGATAGAAAGTTTTCCAGCCTCACCTTTGAGAAAATTTGGCCAGGAGTACAGTAAAAAAAATAATTGGTTTCCCATGAATAGATCGATTATTGTTGGAAACACCATTTGTGGATTTCCTAGTGATAATCATTAGGTTTATGGGCACCTTAAGTATGCATCAATTAAAAGGGGCTACGTACAGTTTTGAGAGAATCAAAATGATAGCACCTTGCCACCTCACATTTTTTTTTCTTCTAAGGTGCAGTGTCGGTGTACATTGAAAAGAAAGTCTACCTGTGACCCAAAACTCAGCATATAGTGGGCTAGTGCCTGCTGTATGCTGACAGCGTAGAGCTGCGCTACAGCTGGGAAAGATCCCAACATTTTTGGGATCCACCCTGCTGCCTGATTGACAGCTGGCTCTGTCCACCCTCTCCCCCTGAAAAAACCCCTTAATGGAAGAACAAAGAGAGCAGGGGGGAATCACTGCGGGAACTGATCCTGAACTGAGTAATCAGTGGTTTGTGCCCCAGAACAGCCACTCAGTCCCATGTGTTGCCATGCAGCACCCAGAACCATCACTCAGTCCCATGTGTTGCCACGCAGCAACCAGAACAGTTACTCAGTCCCATGTGTTGCCACGCAGCCCCCAGAACAGTCACTCAGTCCCATGTGTTGCCACGCAGCCCCCAGAACAGTCACTCAGTCCCATGTGTTGCCACGCAGCCCCCAGAACAGCCACTCAGTCCCATGTGTTGCCACGCAGCCCCCAGAACAGTCACTCAGTCCCATGTGTTGCCACGCAGCCCCCAGAACAGTCACTCAGTCCCATGTGTTGCCACGCAGCCCCCAGAACAGTCACTCAGTCCCATGTGTTGCCACGCAGCCCCCAGAACAGTCACTCAGTCCCATGTGTTGCCACGCAGCCCCCAGAACAGTCACTCAGTCCCATGTGTTGCCACGCAGCCCCCAGAACAGTCACTCAGTCCCATGTGTTCCCACGCAGCACCCAGAACAGTTACTCAGTCCCATGTGTTGCCATGCAGCCCCCAGAACCATCACTCAGTCCCATGTGTTGCCATGCAGCCCCCAGAACCATCACTCAGTCCCATGTGTTGCCATGCAGCCCCCAGAACCATCACTCAGTCCCATGTGTTGCCATGCAGCCCCCAGAACCATCACTCAGTCCCATGTGTTGCCATGCAGCCCCCAGAACCATCACTCAGTCCCATGTGTTGCCATGCAGCCCCCAGAACCATCACTCAGTCCCATGTGTTGCCATGCAGCCCCCAGAACCATCACTCAGTCCCATGTGTTGCCATGCAGCCCCCAGAACCATCACTCAGTCCCATGTGTTGCCATGCAGCCCCCAGAACCATCACTCAGTCCCATGTGTTGCCATGCAGCCCCCAGAACCATCACTCAGTCCCATGTGTTGCCATGCAGCCCCCAGAACCATCACTCAGTCCCATGTGTTGCCATGCAGCCCCCAGAACCATCACTCAGTCCCATGTGTTGCCATGCAGCCCCCAGAACCATCACTCAGTCCCATGTGTTGCCATGCAGCCCCCAGAACCATCACTCAGTCCCATGTGTTGCCATGCAGCCCCCAGAACCATCACTCAGTCCCATGTGTTGCCATGCAGCCCCCAGAACCATCACTCAGTCCCATGTGTTGCCATGCAGCCCCCAGAACCATCACTCAGTCCCATGTGTTGCCATGCAGCCCCCAGAACCATCACTCAGTCCCATGTGTTGCCATGCAGCCCCCAGAACCATCACTCAGTCCCATGTGTTGCCATGCAGCCCCCAGAACCATCACTCAGTCCCATGTGTTGCCATGCAGCCCCCAGAACCATCACTCAGTCCCATGTGTTGCCATGCAGCCCCCAGAACCATCACTCAGTCCCATGTGTTGCCATGCAGCCCCCAGAACCATCACTCAGTCCCATGTGTTGCCATGCAGCCCCCAGAACCATCACTCAGTCCCATGTGTTGCCATGCAGCCCCCAGAACCATCACTCAGTCCCATGTGTTGCCATGCAGCCCCCAGAACCATCACTCAGTCCCATGTGTTGCCATGCAGCCCCCAGAACCATCACTCAGTCCCATGTGTTGCCATGCAGCCCCCAGAACCATCACTCAGTCCCATGTGTTGCCATGCAGCCCCCAGAACCATCACTCAGTCCCATGTGTTGCCATGCAGCCCCCAGAACCATCACTCAGTCCCATGTGTTGCCATGCAGCCCCCAGAACCATCACTCAGTCCCATGTGTTGCCATGCAGCCCCCAGAACCATCACTCAGTCCCATGTGTTGCCATGCAGCCCCCAGAACCATCACTCAGTCCCATGTGTTGCCATGCAGCCCCCAGAACCATCACTCAGTCCCATGTGTTGCCATGCAGCCCCCAGAACCATCACTCAGTCCCATGTGTTGCCATGCAGCCCCCAGAACCATCACTCAGTCCCATGTGTTGCCATGCAGCCCCCAGAACCATCACTCAGTCCCATGTGTTGCCATGCAGCCCCCAGAACCATCACTCAGTCCCATGTGTTGCCATGCAGCCCCCAGAACCATCACTCAGTCCCATGTGTTGCCATGCAGCCCCCAGAACCATCACTCAGTCCCATGTGTTGCCATGCAGCCCCCAGAACCATCACTCAGTCCCATGTGTTGCCACTCAGTCCACAAAAATGACCGTGCGTTGCTGGAGTGTTCGGGTTTCGCTTTGAGAAAAGGTGGCAAACCTACGCATGGGACTGGGTGACTCCACATGGAGCTGTGTGACAACACATGGGACTGAGAGACTCTACTGGGTGCTATGTGACAATGGACGAGAATGAGTAACTCTGCTGGGAGCTGTGTGAAAACACATGAGACTGAGTGACTCCTCAAGGAGCTATTTGACAACTCATGGGACTGAGTAACTCCGCAGGGAGCTGTGTGACAACGCATGAGACTGAGTGACGCCGCATGGAGTTGTGTGACAATGCATGGGACTGGGTGACTCAGATCGGAGGTGTGTGACAATGCATGGGACTGAGGGACTCGGTTCTAAGGAGTCAATCAGTCCCATGAGGTTTCCTCATGTAGCTGGCTGTGATTGACGCATGCTTTAGTGCACTAGGTAAGTTTGCATTCATTTGAATGGCACTCTAATGCAACTCTTGGCCGCCGTGTGTTGCAATGTTGTGCAACAGACAGTAACACAATTTCATGCATTGTGGTGGAAAAAAAGAAGTCCATGCTATGCTGAGGTTGTCATAGGAGAGGAAAATGGGGTCACTGAATGTGAACTTCGTGAAGTGCAAGTCACATATTTATATATTTTGTTTATTTATATACACACACACATTTTTTTAAGCACTCTAAATGCAATTCTTTTATGCATAGACCTGAATGGAGTGTACACATTGTACACTCTAAATAAAGTTTATATATGGATATATTAAGAAAAAAAAACCCTGCAGGAACTGCCACGCAATACAACACTCGCCCCCCTGTTTGTGCTGACAGGCTGTATGAACGGACCTTCGTGGAAGCTGGCAGCATTGTGTGGATGGGTGAGTGGGTGTGTACATTTAATTTAGATACCTCGCTTAGCTTTGTACATCTCCATTCTCCACTGTGTCTATACATTCCTCCCACTTCCGCTATTCCCCAGTGCTTTATGGGAGATGTAGTCAGCTCTCTCTGCACGGATATGATGCATACTCATCTTAGAGATCTTCCTCCTGGCTGCAGGAAGGAGCAATCTGTACAAGGAGGATGGTGACGTCACTGGCAGCTGGAAACAAGGATTACAAGAAAAGTAAGTACTTTTATGATACAGTCTTACAGCAGATTGCTTCCTCTGACGGAGGGGGTCCTAAATATATAAAATAGTGTGCATCCTGGAGTTCTTCTTTAAAGTGGCACTGAACTCGGGAATTAAATCTCAAACATGCATTCAAGTATCTTAACTGTTAACAAAAACGTATCTCATCTGTGTATCACTCGGCTGCAGATCCTCAAATCATCTCTGAATTGGTGCTGACACTGTCCTTCCTTCTGGAGGGGGGCTACTTTTGTTCCCCATGGTGCCTGTGTGTGTTGTAAAGTAGTCACTGCTCCAAGATCCCTCCTGTGATGGAATACAATCTCAATACAAATGAGCTAACTAAACATGAGATTGTAGTCCATCACAGCAGTAAGCTTGGAGCGGTGACTACTTTACAACATACACATTTGGAACAAAAGTAGTTACAGACAGCAAAAGTTGACTTGGTTTCTAACTAGGGATGCACAGATACTTTTCGAGTACCAGTGCAGATACTTGGCATTTTCATGAGAACTACCAGGGTTGCAGCTGGGATCTGGCTCTGGTGCTCCATCACTGTCCTGAAATCATTAGTCTGTATTGATTTAGAAAAACTGTCACATGACAATAAACAAAAATGTATCAGTACTTGTAAGTACTCGGCAAGTACCAGTACTCGTACTCGCAAAACTGGTATCGGTGCATCCTTTTATTTATATTTATAAAAACAACATCATACATTAAAACAGAGATGTACAAATCCCAGGAGCTCCGTGTGCTCCTTACAAATGACAGCTGCCTCCTAATTTTTGAATTTTTCTCTAGTGTAGTCTTGGAGCTCAAAAGTATCGGTACTTGGAATCTGTGCAACCCTATTTCTAACCCCTGCCCAGTCTGCATAAATCAAAAATAAAACTTTTGACTTTACATATGCTTTAAGGGGCCAGTCACATCATATCCGGGCAGCGTTCTGGGACGGGAGGGGGCGTGTTGGCGCCATTCATGTCAATGTCACCGCACCACAGACACGCCCCCCCACCCGACCTGCCCTCCATTCCAGTGCAGTGCGATCGGAAAAAATAGTGCATGTAGCATTTTTTCAGATTGCACTGCACCAGAACGGAGGGCATACCTGTAGCTCATGTTCCGGTGCGGGCGATCGCACTGCAGCAGGGGGCGTGTCTGTGGTGCCATTGACATGAATGGCACCAACATGCCCCCTCCCGCCCCGGAATGCTGCCCGGCTTGATCTATTTAATCCAGTGCGTTCCGGGCTCGAAACACATTGGAACACACTGTATATGGTGTGACTGGGCCCTAAGGGTTTCATTTATAAAGGCTCTGCCTGGCGTATAGCAGGGTGGATGCCATTCAGCAGGGGGGGCGGACAAGCGCGCTGCTATACTAGTGACAGCCGCCCAGATCAGTTGTATAAAACAAGCACTGGATTCCCCGCTCTACATTTAGCCCTGCTTGGCCGTAACAGGGCTAAATGTAGGGAAAAATTAACACCCGCCCGGTGTCCTGAACTGCATGTCCTGGTTGTCAGGCAATAGGAATTTTGCACCCCTACAACACTTGCTGTTCTATGAGGTAGAGCAAGATTTTCCTTACCAATAAAGGAAAAAAAAAAACATGCAAAAATACATTTTTGTTGCTTCAGATTCACAGAATATAAAGCATAAAAGAGACCACTATGAATGATCTGACGTACCGCGACTGGCTGTGGCCATGACCACGTGGAAGAATAATATGGACGTGAAAAGGATTCGTAGAAGATGTGGTGTACCTTCTATAGGTTCCAGCTATGCTTTGCCCTGCTATTCCTGATAGCTGTCCTTGTGCTGGTTAGTAACATCCATTTGGTAGAGGTAAGTGGCTATAAGGCTTATACAAAATATAGACTTCTACTCTTGAAGTGTTATAGCAGAAATCACTCTCCTTAAAGTGACACAAAACTCTGGACTTAAATCTAAAAAATGCAATCAAGTATCTTAAAGTGACATTCAGGGCTGCAACAACTAAGCGATAAAATTGGTTATAATCGATAACGAGAATCATTGTCAACGATTCTCATTATCGATTAGTTGATTTTCGATCACTTGAATTCCCCGCAGCCACTCTGCTCCTCCGTTCTCCTCCCTGCTGGTGCTGGCTGCAGCAATTCTGTGTCCCTTTCAATCCCCGCTGCAGTTGGCACCAAGAGAAGAGTCTGCGTTGACTCTGCATTCCCTTCGCTGCCCCCCACCCCTTCTTACCTCCGCTGCCTGCCCCGTTCCTCCTCCGCTGCCCGCCCCGTTCCTCCTCCTCTGATCCTTTGTGCCCCCTCTTCGGCAGGTGTTCTATCAATCCTCTAGACTTGACTTGAGTCCGAGGGATTGATAGATCACCGGCATCAAGTCTCCCAATCTGAGGATGGAAACAATAGTCAGCTTACTTTTGGATATTTTTAATTGCATTAGCAGACTGGCTTTGCACGCACCCTCTGCCTGCTGTCAATCAGCAGAGAAGGACCTGATGGAGAACTTTCTACTTCAGTTCCCTCCATTGCTGATTGACAGCAGGCAGTTGGCAGGTGTAATAGCCAGTCTGCTATTGTAATTTAAAATAGCCAATAGGAGGCTGGATATTGCTCCCAGCCACTGCATGCTGTATTTACTTTCAGCTGCCACAGTAGGCAGCTTTCATTCCCCAGTGAAGTGGAAAGGTGACACTGGGGGTCTAACAGACCTCTAATGTCACCTTAAAGAGAACCTGTCATCTCAATTGTGCAATCACATAAGGAGCTTGTGAACCTCCCCTGTGATAGCAATGAAGTTAAAAATATATATATTAAAAAGTCCCCCAACCCCGCAAACGTGGGCATACTAACGGAACACAAGTCGGGCGCACCAACGTATGAAATCGACGATTGGGCTACACATATCCGGTATCGCTGCGTGCGCCAGAGTGAGAGCATTAATTTTCCGGCCAATATTCATGGCTAACTCTAAACTGATGACCGGGCTTTTATTTAAAAAAAAACAAAAAAAGTGGAAAAAGTAATTTTTTGTTTCAGCCTGGCAAATTCTGCTGCATGATGTGTGTTGTGGTGCCATTCATTTCAATAGCACCCCAAACGTGCCTCCCGCCCGCACTGTGATTGCCCGTACTGGAACGCACGTTACTGCAGTGCCGTGCAATTGCACAAAATGTGCATGCAGTTATATTCTGAAGTAAACTTTGCTTGTAACACTCCATTTGTGTATTTCATTTGAAATAAAAGCTGGTATTTAATTTTTTTTTTCTTTAACCGATCGAAAAAAATAATCGGCCAACTAATAGATTATGAAAATAATCGTTCGTTGCAGCCCTAGTGACATTAAAGTCAAAATGATGCCTCTTGATCTGATCATCTTCATCTTCCAGTAGTTTTCAGGAGTCCCTCCAGCGCTGGTGCCGGTCTCTGATCCAGCGCTGACTCCTCTGTCTTCCTGTCCCACGGAGTCTGTGCGGGTGCATGCTGCCTGCATTGACTTACCCTGTGTGTCTCCTCTTCTCCCGGCCGTAGATCTCTACTGAGGGTGTGCCCGCCCCATGATCCTTTGCGGCCGCCCGAGAATCTTCAGATCTTCGGACGGGAGCGCGCAGCGAAGACACAGGTAAGATTGAACCTTTTTGTTACTTTAATGTTTTTGCATATATCTACTGCTTGCTACTGCTTGCTAGCATTAGATATATGCAAAAATATGTGAGGGTTTATTGTGCTTTATTAACAAACATGTATCTTATTTGTGCATCGCTCAGCTGTAGATCCTCAAATCATCTCTGAAATGGATTTCTATGAGTAGGCCTTGGGGATGAAACGTGTGAGATGATTTGGGGTGCGTTTGCTTGGTGTAATCTGTTATATGCACTGGGATGAAGCATGGATTCCAGTCAGAAGATCTGTGGAGTTCGGCTCCTTTTTGTGTCGGCTTCTCTGAATTGGTGCTGACACTGTCCTTCCTTCTAGAGGGTGCCTACTTTTGTTCCCCATGATCCCTGTGTGTTGTTAAGTAGCCACTGCTCCACACTTGCTCACGTGATGGACTACATACAATCTTACATTTTAGTTTACTAATTTGTTTTGAGATTGTAGTCCATCACAGGAGCAAGCTTGGAGCAGTGACTACTTTACAACACACACAGGCACCATGGGGAACAAAAGTAGCCACCCTCCAGAAGGAAGGACAGTGTCGGCACCAATTCAGAGATGATTAGAGGCTCTACAGCTGAGTGATACACAAATAAGATAAATTTTTGTTCATTCTTAAAAAGTGCCTTAAATATTAACTTCTGAATTTAGTGTCACTTTAAAGGATTAGTGCACTTTGAGACAAAGAGGGTATATAAATAAATATTTTTTAGCAACTTCTTTCATAAACAAAAAATATTTTTAATACAATTCATTTTTCTTAGCCTAGGACATGTACCAGCATGATTTGTTATTATTTTCTACAGCTTAAGTATTTATTATTTATTAAAATAAATGGGCATGCAGACTGCCCTGTCTTACCGCTCGATGGCGGCGTGCAGCTTTGGGAGAGGGAGGGAAGACAGCTGGTCTAAAAAGAAGCCGGTTTTGAGTGGATTTTTTATTTTCTGTTTCAAAAAGTAGACTTTGCCTTTAAGGATAATTATATATAACTAGTAAGTAAGCACAGCCAGACCAATTGCTATACTGTACATTATAGTGGAGTGCATTCTTAGCAGACATGTATATTTTGTAGAAATACATTGTTGATCTTTTGCTGGCTTGTTATCTCTCTCATGGACTTCGATGTGAGACTTCTGCACCTCAGTTTTCAGCTGCATTCACGTGCTGCAGGAGTTGCTGAGTCTCCCTGTTGAAGTGTTCTTTTCTCGTACATTATAAAGATTGCTGTACGGCCTCCATTGTAAAATGAGGTGAAAATATCCAGCTAGTGGTTGATTCAGCTCGCTACCCTTAGCCAAACTCTTAAAGCAAAAACATATTTTTGAATAGTGAGGGGAAGTGTTAGAATGCCTAATAAATTTAATGCTCCCTATGGCTCTGTTACAGTGATTTCTCCCACTTTCTGTGCTGCTTACAATATTTTACCAGACAGCAAGTGAGGAAAACTTTCCAACAACAACAAAGAAATAAAAATGCTTCTTTTGTAGAGTAGGGGAAGGGTAGAACTGCCACTGTAAAGGGATGCTGATGGATGGTGCCACCCGCCATCCACAGGAATGTATCTACTTTATATGTAGCAGCTTTCTCCTTACTAAGATTTACCCAAGTAGATTCAGTGAAGACTATATACCATACCAAACATTTATTTATATTAATTCATTATTATCAGTTATAAACATATATCATACCAAAATATAATTTTACATTTGAAAAACACCACTAAAAAGTACCAAAGTGCTGTCTGTCTACAGCTGGTAATGCAGTCCATTTTTAATGAATATCATTCTTGAGTAGATTTGTTTTAATAGGTTAAAAAGAGTACATCCTGTTGAAACTAGTATTACTGCATTCATGGCTGCATAACTGGGGTGAGTACTAAACATCATATTTTCTTTTACAGCATCTAAATCACAGGACAGGTATGGAACCAGGATGGGCAGTGATGAGCAGAGATACAACTCAACGTCATTCACCAGTAAGCAGAAAATCATATTGTGACTATGACCATCAAACTTTGTCCAAGTCCGAATATGAGGAACAAAGACGCTTGCTTAATGCTCTGGAATGGCCTGGACCACCACATGACAAAGTCCTTTTTCTAAAGAGCACTGATGCAGCACACAGCCGTTTTGTGATCTTGCAGTCTCAGTCACTGTTTAAGTTGGGGGATATCATGGAAGTGCTGGTTAGGATGCATGATTTTGAAGGCAATCCAAAGCAGTATGGAGGAGATTACTTGCAAGCCAGAATTCATTCCCCCCTTCTGAAAGCTGGGGCAATAGGGAAGGTGATCGATCATCAGAACGGGTTCTATAGTATATATTTCACTTTACTTTGGCCAGGAAGGGTGACTGTATCTGTAACTCTGGTTCACTCAAGTGAGGCAATCCAAATCCTGCAGCACTTACGCAAAGAGAAACCAGACAGAGTTTACTTTAAGAGCTTATTTCGATCTGGTGCTACCACAGAAACCAAAATGTGCAATGTTTGTCTGCCTAGGACAGCACCTGTGTGCAACTACACAGACCTCAAGACTGGAGAACCATGGTTTTGTTACAAGCCTGAGAAGCTGTCTTGTTCAAGTCGAGTCAGTCATGCTAAAGGTGGTTATCTGAAAAACCTACTGACTTCTGAAAAAAACCTGTTCTTTCAAAGGTACACTGAATACATCTTGACATGCAATATACATGTATATAATTTGAACTACAAACTACCTATTGCATAGTGCCTGCCTAGTATAAAATTCTCTTAATTTTAATGCAGTTGTCTGACAGCATGGAGACATGTAGAGTCAGTGAGGGGAATTTATCAAAACTGGAGCAGGCAGAATCTGACACAGTTGCCCATGGCAACCTATCAGTTTATATCTTTAATTTTGAAAACTTTACTGAACAAACTGAAGCGAGAAGCTGGTTACTATGGGCATCTGTTACGGGTTCTGTCTGCTCCAGTTTTGCTAAATTTTCCCTAGTATGTACCATCCCATCCATGTAGCTCCACTGCACACATGAAAAGTTGGCTGACATATCATAAATGTGCCAATAACACTGTGCCGTAGAAACTCTTTTTTTTAAAATTTCTTTAAGGATATACATATGGGCCCAGTAAATGCAACCAGGGCTTATGATTGCTGAAAGTTCTGCTGTAATACTTGCTAGATGCCAGGTTTTGGTGTCTATATGTACAGGCTGCTAAACGTATATCTTTAAATGGATCCCATGAAGAGCTGACATTCACTCCTTTTACTTTTGTTTCCCAAAGTGGTATAAATATCAAAGTTCCAGTCCTGGCAAGTGGCCCTGATACTGTGACGGTGCACCCTTGGAAAATCAAAGGTACATCAGCTGCTTTTCTTTTAATTACATCAATTTCAGTTGAAGAAAAAAAAACGAAAAAAAAAATTCAGAAAAACATTATATTCTATAAAGAAGAAAGGGTATACAGAACTCCAGTGCTCTAAATATAAATAACAAAAACTCTTATTTACCATTAAAAATAATATGCAAAAATCATGATCCCGTCGCAATAACCTATACTGCTAACATTAAAAAGACAACAATGTCTACAGCATATTAAACCTCAAAATGTAATAAATATAGCGATCATGCATCCAGGAAATTAAGGTAGGAGTGAAGTCTCATCACAGCAAGATTATAGCAGCAGTATAATATGTGAAATGCAATGATAGATACACTATGAAAGGGTTCTGTGGATTCAGGAACTTTCCAACAAACAAGGTAAAAAGATAGTTTAGTTCTCTCCACATTGAACAACTACCATAACACTGTATCCTTGCAGTATGTAACAATCAAACTGGTGTTCTGTTCCACAAATAATGGCAGATACACGGATAATCAGCTTCTGTTTTGAATTCAGTGCTATCCTCCATGATAAACTACCGTGGGCTGTATTCTTGTAGTATGTAACCAGATCTGCAAATGTAACAATAAAGCAGATTATCTGTTCAGGAAAAAAAAAGTCAGGTTCACATATATCAGCTTTTGTTTTATCACTTGAATTGCAGCCCCCTAGTACTATTGCACATGTTACCCGCATGGTAGCACCTTCCACACTATCCTAACATCTCCATCCAGGTCTGGTAAACTGAAATCAGGTTGTGAAGACTTGCTTGTAGCTGATCAGGACTGTGTCACTATTGCATTTGCAAACATGTTTCCTTACACCTATGATGGAGTGTCCACAATGCTAATCACTATCTGGTTTATTGGATGGCTGTTACCTGTGGTTTTGCAGTTCTTAATCAGATTACTCTGTATGATTGACGCATAAGCTAATTTAAGAGACTGGGATCTCTTATGAAGTGTATAGTATCCAGCCGCATAGCACAGGTGTGCTGGGGTTAATACGTGCATTAGCACTTCTATTTTCAGGGATCTGCAATTCCAGTGACATGCCTATTATTAAACTTAAAGTGACACTAAACTCACAAGCTGAATCCTAAAAATACATTCAAACACCTTAACTATTAACAAAAATGTATCTTATTTGTGTATCACTGGGCTGTAGATCCTCGAATCATCTCTAAACAGGTGGTGACACTGTCCTTCCCTCTGGAGGATGACTACTCTTGTTCCCCATGTTTCCTGTGTGTGTTGTAGTCACCACTCCAAGCTCACTCCCTTGACGGACTGCAGTCTCAATACAAATTAGTAAACTAAACATGACATTGTAGTCCATCACGGGAGCGAGCTTGGAGCGGTGACTACTTTACAACACACACAGGGACCATGGGGGAACAAAGTAGCCACCCTCCAGAAGGAAGGACAGTGTCGGCATGAATTCAGAGATGATTTGAGGATCAACACCTGAGTGATACACAAATAAGATACATTTCATTTAATAGTTATGGTTAGGAATGCACCGATACTGGTACTGGTGCAGATACTGAGCATTTGGGCGAGTAATCTCCCAAATGCTCTAAAACTTAACCCCAATATCGGCTTTCCGGGCCAATCAGGAAGCTGGGTGTCAGGTCATGACCCACCTTCCTGGTTCCTGATTGGCTAGGAAGCCGGCTTGTCGTTTTTCCAGGAGTTAACAACTCATTAATTATGTATATTTAGTTATTTTGTGAGATCATCATCATGTGAAAATTGTTTTAAAACTTAAGCTATGTGTCCTTGGCTCAAAATAATCCTTATCGGCAGGATGTAACCCAAGCAAAACCACAGGTTCCAAAAACAAGCATGGGAAAGAGAAAATGCACAAGTTAAACTGAAGTGTGCTAAAGGTTGATATCTATTAACCCTTTCGCTGCCAAGCCCTCGAACATTTTTCAAATCAGCTGGCCAAGCCATTTTTGAATTTTCTGCAATATGCTCTGAGTATCCATAATATCTTTGTCACTAGCAACACTGCAAGGCAGCCTGGTTTCCTGACCAATCTGGAATCCGGGCAGCAGGTCCTGATTGGTCAGGAAGCCAGGCTGCCTCGCTGTGTTGTGAGGGTGCGTGAAGCTAGCTTCCCAGTGCTTCCTTGATGGCCAGGAAGCCGGGCCCACATTACCTTGGGATGCCGATTTATCTACGTGATATCTGATCTGAAGTACTGATAAAAAAAATATCGGGACTCGATACCGCAAAACCAGTCTCTAGTTAGGGTACTTGAATGCATTTTTATGTGTACCTGCTGTTTTTTGGTGAACAGAGCATCTACTTTGTTACATTTGCACATCTGGATGTATACTACAAGAGTACAGTCTACGGTAGTTGCTCATTGAAGATAGCACTGGATTCAAACAGAAGCTAATTGTGTGTATTTGCCATTATTTGTGGAACAGAATACCTGTCTGATTGTTACATTTGTACAACCAGTTACGTGCTACAAGGACACTGTTATGGCAGTTGCTCACTGTGGAAAGAACTCTACTATGTACTGGAAAGCTCCTGTGTTTACAGAACCTTGAGACAGAGTATCGATCATTGCATCCAATGTATTGTACTGCTGCTACAGTCTTGCTGTCATGAGACTTTTATTCTACCTTATCCTGGTGCATGATCACTTTAACAAAGGGAGTGTTATAGGGCTGGTTTTGGTAAACAGCTAATTCTTCTAAAAAATGGGTTTGTGTGGTGGGATCACGATTGCTGCATATGATTTTTTTGTACACTTATGCTAGAGGTTTTGTATACCCGATCTTTCTTTTTCGTATACAGTTTCAGAACAAGCATCTCCAAATTGAATTCGGTATAAAAAGTAATGGGGCTGAACTAAGTGCAGCCACTTATAACACCAATCAGATTACTGAAGTCAGACCTATCAAAAAGGAATTTACATTTTTCACTATTTCTGTTCTAAAGCACCCTCTACTCTACCCTCTAAGTCAGATGTAGGAAGAAAAAAAAGCCGGTGGTAAAAAAAAAAAAAGAAACAATAAACGTCTTTAAAGTGTAACTCCAGCCCAAGTGTAGGGTTTTTCTTTTTAGTTTTGGATAGAATAGGAAAGAGAGAATAAGGGGCGTGTCCTAGATCTCATGGCGGCGGGACACACCTAGACTGAGCTCCGGGCTTCCCCTCTCTGCAGACAGGACAACTCGTCCGCTATGCTGCACGCTGCATAATAGCAACGCTAGCTCTACTGACCTGCCAGCTGACAAAACTCTTTCTTCCTGGGGAACCCCCCGCTGTCGACCACACTTCATGCACACATATCGGTCTTTCCCAAAGAGGGTAAGGACCCGACTATATGTAGTAGCTACAGACCCATTTCACTGTTAAACACAGATATAAAGCTTTATGCAAAAATTCTTGCCACGAGACTTAATCGCTTGATACCCCAGCTGATTTTACCAGACCAAACCGGTTTTATTCATGGCCGAGAGGTCAGGGATAGTACTCAGCGGGCGATATCTCTTATACATTATGCATCCATGTCTTCCTCTCATACCATTCTAATGTCAGCCGATGCCGAAAAGGCATTTGATAGGGTGGACTGGGATTATTTACAGGCCACTCTTCGTCACATTGGAATGGGACCGAGGTTTCTGGCAGGGATAATGGCCCTATATACACATCCTACAGCTTGTGTAAAGATAAATGGTAGCTTATCGAAGGAGTTCACTTTATTTAATGGTACACGACAGGGATGTCCTCTTTCCCCCCTCTTGTTTGCGTTATTTTTAGAACCACTTCTTACTACTATTAGACAGAACCAGAATATCGTGGGCATTACAGTGGACAATTGTGAACATAAGCTAGCTGCATATGCGGACGATATTCTCTTCTTTATTCAAACACCTTTGACTTCCTTACCTTCCCTTATACAGGAATTTGACATTTTTCACAAAATATCTAATTTTAAAATTAACCTCACTAAATCAGAAATAATGAATATCACGACATCTCAGCACATAGTAACAACACTAAAAGAATCTTTACCCTTTTTAATTGGCAAACTCACAAGATGAAGTATCTGGGAATAAATTTGAAATAGGCAAGAGATAGATCCCCTGCCAGTTTTGTTGTTCTCATGTCTGATGCAGGTCAGTAGACCTGCATAAAACGTGTTAACGTCAGTGCGAAAACGACAATTGGGCCCATTACGCCGCACATGTTACATATCCACGCAAACTTCGGAGTGGGAGCAATAATTCTAGGGCCATCAATCACTGATAACACTAAACTGATGAGCGGTAAAAGCTTTTAAAGCCAATTTTGGATATGGTAGTTTTTTGCAATTTCGCGGGTGCGCGCACTTTTAAAGCTTGACATGTTTGGTGTCTATTTACCCGATTTAAAAAAAAAATGTTCAGTCATTTTTCCTTAATATAGGAAAAAATAAAACCAGTGGTGAATAAATACCACCAAAAGAAAGCTCTATCTGTCCCCCAAAAAATGGTATAAAATTAATTTCAGTACAGCGTTGCATGACGGAATAAATGTCAGTCAAAGTACCGCAGCGCTGAATACTGAAAAATGGCCTGGCCAGGAAGGGGCTGTAAACACCTGGTCAGCAAGTGGTTAAAAAAAAAAAATTTGTTGAGATTCCAGCTTAATTTGTTAGCTGAAAATCTGTTTAGTTAATCCTTACAGAATTAATGGTAGGAGCACTCCGGTATATCACTTTCATTTTGTAATTCCAGAAGATGTTTTTCCTGGCAGGTCAGTCTTGTGTATCATTGATAATATTTAATAATATAAACGTAAAGTAAAAAGTGCAATAATATTAACTGTATTACTCTTTCTTGAATTTTCAGATAAAAATGTTCTCCATGGGTCCAAGTTTACATCTTCGGGGTATTACTATGGAGATCAGTGGGTGTCTGGAAGATCTATTATATGGCAATTTGAAAAGCCTTCTGACATCACTGAATGCCTGCAAGGAAAAGTGGTGCATTTGTTTGGGGATTCTACAATAAGGCAGTGGTTTGAGTATCTGACAGATTTTGTTCCAGGTAATTTCCTGCTCCATTCTTCTCTTTTTTTCTTTCCAGCGTTATCAAGTTTCAAAGAATACTGGTTGTAGTTTAGCTAGGCTAGCATGACATTGCTATTTATGTTTGAAAGGGTTTCTGGGTAGTGTGAATTTGTATCCAGACAAACCTGGATTATGTGGATTTTATTTATAGTGAACTTGTCACTGCAAAGCAATTTAGTAATTGAACATGTTACTTATAGCAAGCAACATACAGTTTACATGCCCTCTGTATTTCTGAAATCATCTCTCCTATGTTTTGTGGGTGCCCCTGCTCCTAGGCACGTGCAAACATCAGAACTCTAGAACAGCCTTTCTCAACCAGGGTGCTGTGGCATACTGGTGTGCCTCCTGGTCTCCTCAGGGGCGACTCAAACTTTTGTGGTAGTGGCATTGTGATGTGAGGGGCAAGAAAGAATGATGTGAAAGTGGTGGGGGGGGGGACTCTGATATGAAAGAAACAAAACAAATGGCCAATACACTCATCAATTCATAACCAGCTTTACGTAAGGTTCACAGGGAAGGGAACACAGTACAAAAGCAAACCTTTCCCAGGACATTTTCCAGCCAGCCTGCAAAAAATTACCCTGTCTAACTTTCAGCGTTAAGCCCTTGTTCACACCTGAACGTTTTGTAGCGCGTTCTACGCTCGACGAATGCTCTACAAAACGCTCAAAAATATAAATCCCATTGTATTCAGTGGTCTCGTTCCCACCTTGGCGTATTTCCGCCCGTCCCTAACGCGCTACAAAACGGCCCACGCCTGAAAAGGTACAGGTACTGCTTTGGGCCGTTTTGTTGCGTGTTTCCAATGGGCTACAGCCAAGTAGCCTTCGGAAACGCGCGACGGTCGCGCAACTTTTTTACCGCGAATCGCGGTAAAGAAACGCGCGACGGTCGCGCATATGCAATATGCCTAGGTGTGAACGAGACCTAAAAACAGAGGTTTTAGTTGGACAACTTTTGCAAAATATGTGGAAGCCACACTGCCTGGTCAAAGCCCCTCTGTGTAGTGTGGTCCTAACTCTAAATGAATGAGGGGCTTCTGATGTGAAAGGGGGTTCCTGATGTGAAGGGGGGCTACTGATGCAAAGGGTGAGCCTTATGTAAAGGGTGGAAATCTTGATGTGAAGGGGAAAACCCATTTTTTGGGGGTGTTTTTGCATAGGGTCCACCTTACAAAATCCATTACATTTTAGACTGCGGTGCCTTGAGATTTTGCACATTTTTAAAGTGTGCCGTGACTAAAAAAAGGTTGATAAATGCTGCTCTAGAATGTCCCCTGCATTGCACAAGGCAGTGAAGCAGAATACTGCTAGAAACAGTGTGTCATTATTTTACTGGTTTGTTTCTCAGTGGCACAACTGTTTAGTTGTAAAGGAGACACTTACAGAAGGTAGATCCATTTTTTTTCTTCTGTCATTTGTATATCTTTTTTTTGGTATATTTTTGTATGCTTTTTTATATATATTTTCCCATATTCAGGCAATTTTTTAAAACATATTTTCAATTTTGGGAAATATGAAATGTGCATAATCATTTGTGATGCTTACAATTTCCAGCCAGCAGGAGGAGCTCCAGGCTCCTTTTCCCATTTTTACCTGCTAGTTGAAAAAAAGCGTGTTGTTTACAGATCTTATTAGCTCAGTCTTCAAATTGCATGTAAAACTGAAGAACTGAGAGCGGGGAAGATTCGTCACTTTCCCTCCACCTCTCTACATGATTAGAAAACACATGATTTAAATTTAGTGAATATATAGATCTATAGATATATATAAACAGTGTGTGTGTGTGTGTGTGTGTGTGTGTGTGTGTGTGTGTGTGTGTGTGTGTATATATGTATATATGTGAAACTCGAATAATTAGAATATCGTGCAAAAGTTCATTTATTTCACTAATGCAACGTAAAAGGTGAAACTAATATATGAGATAGACTCATTACATGCAAAGCAAGATAGTTCAAGTCGTGATAACAGGGCTGCACCCAATTTGATATCTTCTGCCCCCATGTGTTCCAAGATGGAGACTCACATAGTTTAGAGTTAGGACCGCACTATAAGAGGTGCCTTGGCGCGGCAGTGCGGCTTACACATCCTTTGCAGAAGACGTGTATCCAAACCTCTGTCATTGTCCTTAGTGGTGAGACAAGTTGTTTTACATGCTAGTTTGTGAGTGTGCCATGATGCCTTTCTACTGTACCACTGTTCAAAGCCCATTTCGTGTGCACCTTACTGTATAACTGGTAACAAATTGTTGAGTGCGTTTGTCGTTTGTTTTGCTTCACCTGTATATATATCTCTAATTACAGTGTATATGCCAAAAAGTTATAAAACAATCAGCAGGGAGCTTTGCTAATTAAAGAGCTATCGGTCTGACTCAGCAGGGGGAATGTCAAACCTCTGCAGAGAGACCACTGCATATGCACAGGTCTTTTATTCCAGCATGCTGGAAGAGGACAGTTTTTCTTCTACTCAGGCTGCATTCTAAAGAAAATGAAATGTAACACTTTGCACTTTTGTTTTGATGCACCTGAAATACTGTATATTTAGCTGATTTAAACTGAATCTCTAATCTTGTTATGCCAAGTTCTTTTTTTAGTCAAATAAAGTAGGCTATCTGCACCTAAATAACAGTTATTTGTTATTTCTTCTTGCATTACAGAGCTTAAGCCATTTGATCTGGGGAACCCTAAAAATGTTGGACCTTTACTATCCATTGATATTGACCATAATATAATGGTTAAATTCCGCTGCCATGGTCCACCTATCCGCTTTTCAACTGTTTCAAGTAATGAGCTGCGCTACATTGCAAATGAATTGGATGGTATAGTTGGAGGACAAAACAACGTGGTGGCCATAACCATCTGGTCTCACTTCAGCACCTTCCCAGTAGAAGTGTATATAAGACGTCTCAGGAACATACGAGCGGCTATCCTCCGTTTGCTTGCGCGCAGTCCTAACACCGCCATAATCATTCGTTCTGCCAACGTCCAGGAGCTTGGGCCTGAAGTGAGCTTGTTCAATAGCGACTGGTTCTCATTACAGTTAGATATTGTTATGAGGGCTATGTTTTCAAATCTTAAGATACATATAGTAGATGCTTGGGAAATGTCACTTGCCCATTATCTACCACATGCATTACACCCAGGCAGAATCATTGTCAAGAATCAAATAGATGAGTTTTTATCATTTGTGTGCCCCAATTAAAGACGATTGTAGGTATCTGCAGCCTCACCTGCTTAGATGGTTTGGTTGATTTTAGATTTTAAAGTGACACTACACTAAGAAGTGAAATATAAAAAATGCATTCAAGTATCTTAACAAAAATGTATGTTATTTGTGTATCACTCAGCTGTAGATCCTCAAATCATCTCTGAATTCGTGCTGACACTGTCCTTCCTTCTGGACGGTGGCTACTTTGTTCCCCATGGTCCCTGTGTGTGTTGTAAAGTAGTCACCCCTCCAAGCCCCCTCCCGTGATAAATTATCTCATGTTAATTTGTATTGAGATTGTAGTCCATCACGGGAGTGAGCTTGGAGTGGTGGCTACTTTACAACACACACAGGGACCATGGGGAACAAAGTAGCCACCGTCCAGAAGGAAGGACAGTGTCAGCACGAATTCAGAGATGATTTGAGGCTCTACAGCCGAGTGATACACAAATAAGATACATTTTTTTGTTAATAGTTAAAGAGGGCCTTTACCCATATCTTCAAAATAACAACAAAGGCACCTTTTTAGAAATGTTTAGTACTGGCAATTTACAAACACGTACTTCTAGATAATTGCCGGCTTTGTATTCTTTGCATACCTTGTTTTTCTTTTCCTCCCCAGTCTTCTCACAGTGGCCATTTTTACTAACTTTCTTCCTGGAACTCTAAGGCCCTGTTCACACCTTTACGTTTTGTCGCACGTTCAACGCTCTATGAACGCTCTACAAAACGTACAAACTTGAAAATCCCATTGTTTTCTATGGGTATGGTTCACACCATTCCGTAATTCAGCCCGTCTGAACGCGCTACAAAACGGCCTATGCCTGAAAAGGTACATGAGCTTCTTTGGGGCGTTTTGGTCTCGCGTTTCCATTGGGATACAGCCAAGTAGCCCTCGGAAACGCGCGTTTATCGCACCGCGAATCGCGGTAAAAACGCGCATATTCAATACGCCTAGGTTTGAACCCAGCCTAACATATGTGACTAGGGCATGTGCATCATCTCAGGGGAGGAAAATGCCTTTTCCCTGAGGTCTTGTGAGATTACAGATGAGATTTCCCAGCGATGCTGTGCTGATGTAACCTTCCCAAGATGCAACACTCTGGCACTTTACGTCACTCTTGCCAGAACTGGACCAGGAAGTAGATGATTTGTAAGTAAATGAAAAACATGTTTGTTTAACGAATGTAAGATGATTTCATATAAGCATGCAGAGCTGTATGCTGATGTGATTAATATTGAAAGTGGGTAAAGGTCCTGAGTTTAGTGTCACTTTAAAGAACCAAATGTGTTCTTTGTGCTCTTGTAGGCAGTATTAAAACAGTGTTTACAAACTAAAATGTGTTTGTGTTTACAGTATACTAGGGATTGAGAAATCCCTGGAACCAGGTGGACAATGTGGTGGAGAAAAACTGGCAGCTCCGAAGTATTTAGTGTCCTTTTTTACTGATGTCAGTAGAAGTAGATTCCTCTTCATTGCTAAATGATATGGAATGCCTTGTAAAGGTAACATGAATGTGACCAAATCTGCACTATACAGTATGTATGCCGTGCATATGTCAAGAGTGACAGTGTTTGAATGATTGTGACAAGAGAGACCACACTTCCACTGCAATCCTTAGTTATACATCTGCCAGTGTTATACAGATTTCATTGTGTAAATACAAAAGATTAGACTAGGTTAGTGGTTGAGTTTGTCAAAACCAGTATTCATTTTTTTTGTTTACTGTCCGGTTTCAGAGGTGGGCAATCTTAGCACTCCAGCACTCCAGCTGTGGTGAAACCAGGGCCGATGCGAGACTTACTTTTTGCACCAGAGGCAAGACCAGCTACTTGCACCCC